TGCAGACGATTTGAAGGGCATTCAGGCATGCAAGACGCTATAGCAACGCCATTCAGATTCTGCCACGACACTAGCCGCTCAGCGTCCAAGGCTTGGAAGAATGCTATCGTCGAGCCGTTCAGATCTGGCGTCCGTGAGCACGATTCCCAAGGAAAGTGGACGTCAGTTGTCTCTCAACCAGTGTTAAGCAAGTTGTGCGAGCTTCGATCAGGAATCGTGTTTTGAGCTTTATTATGTAAGAAATTGGACACAACTACTTGTAATTACGGAAATAAGACGTGTAATCAAACGTCTTACGAATAACACCTTACCGAACATTTGAATGCAAGCAAGCTTCTCAACTTCACTGAAAAATACGCTAGAACACCACGAGAGAGGGTCAAAATACAAAACCATAACGATGGCTGCCTCAACGAACACTTTCATTGCTATACTGTAATTGCTCAGTGAGTATGGAGCACTGCGAGAGAGTGCGAGGATGACAATGAGCGCAACTGGTTTGGCGGCACTTCTAACGTCATATCAACGTTCCATGACGTAATCAAATAATGACTCGTTGAGGGGCACGGTTACTAGATACCACAATCATGTCGTCTAGAACAGTCTTTTTCACTTAAACATATACAAATATATTAAACGTATTTTTATTTCATCGTATCTGGTGCTTGCTTCGGTGTTTTCAAATGCGCAACAGTTTTTTTAACACAGGGGCGGTGCGGCTGGGGGGGGGGGGCAAGAGTATGCTTTGCCCCCTCCCATTTTTAGAGGCTATTTTTCTCAAACTAAAGGCATTGTAAGTCGGGATCAGAAGACCCTTTGCCACATTAAGAGAAACGCTTTCTGGATCATAAGGTCACCTTCATAGATAAGGAAGGCAATGCTTTGGATTAAGAGACCGAATGTCATGTTCAGAAAGTGTCTTTGTTGGTTCGGGAGGCTCCCGTTACAAACTAGGATGTCTCTATCCTGGGTCAGGAGCCACCATGCATATTCAGGAGGCCCCATGCATCAGATGGCTGCGGTTCCGGTCGTGAATCAAAAGCCTTCTGTTCAAGATTAGGAGTCCCTTCTATGCTTTCATGCATCATATGCTTCCATTGATGTCCTTTCTATCATCTTCTAGGCATGCATCGCTAAGAAAAGAAAAAAGAGCGTTTTTGTTTGGCTTTGTAGGCCTTTCTCAGGCTCTCGACGTGTTTTCATCATCGCCCCATCTTCGTTTTTTTGTGTGTGTCCTGTAACCCACTGAGTCGAATCAAACATTAAGCCATAATTTGGAACAATTCGTAGGAAATGTATGACGTGATATGACATTGGAAGGCGCTGTTCTGGAACAGGATGCCCCGTTTTGGGTTAGGTAGACGCTTTGTTGGATAATTCAAAGGCCCCCCCCCCCCCACACTCACTTTTTAACTGTCAGCACTTAGTCACTTGTACATGATACACATCATAGTTTGGAAAGGAGGCACACGCTCTCAGCGCCCCTCCCCATAGAAACACGCTGCAGCCAGTTCAACTCCTACCCCCAGCTCAAAATCCGTGGCGCCGTCCCTGCTTAAGCGTGCTTAGCACAATATAGCATTACCCGAACATCTTGCATCTCCTGCGGAAAACATCAAAAGAGCAGCATCAATTTGCGGCCCTTCTGGAGGAGGAGCGCGGGCTAGACGCGACTGAGGCACAGAATGAATAGCGCATCGCGGAAACCATTTCGGATGGAGCGTTGTGGTGATACGACCCGAGCCAAAAGACACGGCGTCGTGCGCGGCACCAACGGCACAGCATCACTATGCCGAATAGCGGACGGCGCACTCCCTTCCCTACTTATTCATCCACTTCAAATTACCGATGACACCATTACCACCATAGAACGCACTGAATAGTCTCCCGACCGGCTACGGGCCATGAGAGTCTATTCAGCCCGCTAGTATGGCAACCTCCGTGCTTTTGGGGAGACGCTTTAATAAAGTCAATGGGCGCCGCGCGGCTATCTGACCGGCCACCACAGGCTCCACACGCTAAGCCTTAAAGCACCGCCATCGAAGCGTATTACCGCTTATCGACCTTGCCCGGTTCCGGGAAACGCTGAGGAAAAAGGACGATCTGGTGGCGAGTGGTTGTGAAAGTTAGAATCCTTAGACCACAACACGGAGCTTGCGTACCCCACAGTGTAACTGCTCGAGGCTTCGTACTACCGCAGCATGGTCGACCGGAAGCGGTCCGGCTTCGACTAATATATCTGCCTGTAATGGCGGCGGCCGCACGCACTCCCTAATCGACCCGCCACTCATGCGTCCGGCGCTCGGCGCGCCTCAGGTTACCTCGAGCGGGACTGCCGGCGGGACGGGGTCACACCGGACGGGTCACACAGGCGCCGCCGGCCGGGTGACGCGCCCGACGGCTCCTCTATCTCCCTCTCTCCCTCTCCCCAGACAGATGCCCGCTAAGCACGGACTCCACGGCCAGGGGGTGGTGCAGTGACGGCCCCAGTCATCCCAGATGGTTATTGTGGTGCGTTATTGCTCTGTATGCCCCTTCTGTCCGTTAGGTCGGCAATTGCCAAGCGTGTGTCCTCAGTTTTTGGCTGACATCTGCGTTCACACATTGTAGTACACGCGTCCGGCATGTCTAAAGAGCTGCCGACAGACGTGCTAACGTTCTTTATTGTAATGATAGATTAACATTGCGATGATGCACGATCTGTATTTGCCGACGGTCACCAGCCGACTGACTTTCTCACGTGCACGGCCCAGCTGACCAGCGCGGCAGCTGAGTAACACAACACCCGCCGTCCGGTATCTGTCACTGGGTGCATGGGTCGGCCGGCCACGCCGACCAAGCCGGCCCAGCGAGCAGCGGCAGGAAAGTCATCCACTACTGTCAGCGGACTCACAGTTACTACATTTAGCTCCCGTGTTCGGCATTCACCACACAATGTCCTCCCGCCGAGCCAGCGAGCCTGTCTGGACATCGTAATCAGCCAGCGACAAAAGGCCGATTGGCACGCGTTTCACAGCCGGCAGCGCTGTCCGTGTCGCACGCTTCCGGTCACGTTTTAGGGATTGTTCGCGGCCGGAAATGGACACGCTCTGTCTCTCCGAAGCCCCCTGTCATCCCGCCACGCCCCGACCCCGCAGTGAACCCATCAAAGATTGGTGTCTGTGCATGATACGGCAGAGTAAAGTGCCAGCACCCAACATAGGCGAGCAGTGGTTGGGATGTTCTGCACCTGCGGATCTCAAAACGAGAAATGCAAGGATCGTTGCATTTTACCGAATGCAACACACCGTAATGAAGGAATCCTCCACCATGGCCTGTTGAAGTTAAGCTGAGCGACCGCCACAGTAAACTCTCGCCATAGCTAACAACCCATATAAGTGCATGCATGGTCGACGCCATGTTGCGACTGCTCAGGACTGACCGTCGGACTCAGTCCCAGTCGTTCGGTCTCAACGGTGCCAAGCGGCGTGAAAACACGGAGCGCACAGACAAGCCACGCGGCATTACATCGGCGATGGGGATTCAAACGCGCAAGGACTGCATCACAGAACAGCCAGTCTGCTCAGATTAAAATTGGTCAGGTTCCGCATCCAACATTCGTCACACGCTATAGAGTACCATGAGTCAATTGGCAAAAGAGGTATTCCTAAGCCTTGCCATTTCCTACCTCCATGCCTCGCCTATTCTACAGCGCTTTCCTCCTCTGTCACATCACTACAGTATACAAGTGTCCTCTGCGTCAGGAAACGAAGGCGTTTATCCAGGACGGGATCACCTGTCTCGCTTTTGGGCGAGCGCACCCCCAGTGTGGCCGACGCCAAACCCGAATCATCTACATCGCTCTAAGGCGAATGCACCCTCGAGGCGGCCGACGCCAAACCCGGTCTAATTACTGCACGGTGGAGGAAGCAGCCGATCAGCCCCTCCCCCCCCCCCCCCCTCCGGCTCACCCCGACAATGCCTCCCAGCAGGAGGGCGGTGTAATTGAGCCTGAAATTGACGGCCATCACGTGACTTTGCGAGCAGACGCCGCAGGAAAGCAGAGCCTTTTTAGCTTCCACCAGCTGCAGCGGCAAAGACCAACAGAACACCGACAGAATGAGTGCAGCAACCGACAGAATAAGCGGAGCACCCAGAATGAGCGGAGCACCCGACAGAATGAGCGGAGCAACCGACAGAATGAGCGGAGCAACCGACAGAACGAGCGGAGTATCGGACAGAATGAGCGGAGTACCCGACAGAATGAGCGGAGTACGCAACAGAATGGGCGAAACAAGCTCCGCTCGTGACATACTCGCGGTGCTGCCACGACTCCGAGACATCACCAAGGAATCAATCAAGCGACACCGTCACAGAATCAAGCGACATCACCACGAAATCGAGCGACACCATCACGAAATCAAGAAACATTATCACAGAATCAAGCGACATTACCACAAAATCAATCAACATCACCATGAAAACAAGAAACATCACCACGAAATCAAGCGACATCACCACGAAATCAAGCGACATCACCACGAAATCAAGCGACATCACCATGAAATCAAGCGACACCACCACGAGATCAAGCGACACCATCATGGAATCAAACATCACCACGGAGTAATCACACAGCAACGGTTACGTCCGTAACGGATACGATTGGCCATCACACGCACGGCCGTCCTGTTCAGCTCATCGCCACTTTGGGCCTTGCAGTCATCCGCCGCCGGCCGGCTCGTAACAAGGCCTCCCCGCTGTCCCTACTCTGACACATGCGAATGTTTCGAGCGGCTAATTTCGTTGACTTCGTAACGCCACGCCGAGCGAATGTACTGCGGTAACAACACACGCTATGCGCAATATATGCAACCTTGTAAGCTGACCTATAAGCAAACTTGCCAAACACATCTGGGCGGATCAAGAACTTTTGTAAGTGGAGACTACCATGATTTCGTTTCCGGACCACACTGCTCTGGGCTGGAAGCACGTCCCACGCTCGCCCAATGGAGCACGGATCAGCGGCGCCGTTTATTGGGCCACTTTAGAACAACACCGCAGGTTCCTTTACATATGCGTTTTTACCCGTGAACCTTCTAGATCTGATTGCTCGAGGCTGGTCTCTAAGTAGAGTGGGGAACAGACTCTACGCACTCGTTTGCACCTGCAGATCAAACCCTGAAGATTTGTGGAGCCTACAATTTTTACCATTTGTCTATCATGTCAGATCCCTAAAGCGAGAAAACGACGCTTGCTGAGCACCCGTAAAACAGTGTGTTCACGGACCGTCATTGATGAATTGTATCCATTGCAATATTCGAAGAGAACCAGCCCCATTCGCAGAACAATGAAACAAGCTGTTCCCAGTTTGCTTGTGTTAACCAATCCTTGCATGACATTGGTAACTCGTTTCCTCCGCAGCAGTGCGGGGCGATGTACAAAGCCAATCGGACATAACGGCACTAACAGCACCCGCTTGCGTTTGCCTACCATTCATCTGCTTACGGTCAGCCTCAAATATCTATGAGTTTCTACCTGGAAGCAACAACGTACAAACGTAGCCAACCATAACACAAGCAACGAACGACTCCTGTAACGACCGGAAGGACGAAAAGTCAGGAGTCCGCGCCACGACGCGTGCCGTACCACCTCCGGCATAAACGCGTCAGCCACGCCCCATCCGCAGGAGCTCGGCCCTCAGCACGCGGCACTCGCGCCTCATCTCGTGCGCGTCTCGCCACTGAGGCTGACCCTTGTCGTGGTCCGCCAACGCTCCGTACACTTCGTCATTAAACGCGAAATCGCCCGGCTTGCGCGGCAGCACGTGAACGTGCACGTGCTGGATGGTCTGGCCGGCGGCCGGACCATCCTGCACGCAGATGGTGGCCGAGCTGGCCTCGTGCACGTGCTCCACCAGCCGCTGCACCAGCTGGCTGACCTGGAACAGGTCAGCCACTTCGGCCGGCGTCAGCTGACCCAGACGCGGCACGTCACGCTGTGGTGACACGAGCATGTGACCCGGCACGACGCACTTTTTGTTCACGAATGCGTAAGAGAGTTCAGTGCGGTAAACCACCATGTCGCCATCTATCGTCACCTGGCCGAACCTAAACTTCTCTTCGCTGCCGGGGAAGACGGTGGTGGCGCTAAAGATGGCCGACGCTGCCTCCGTCGGCAGCCGCGGGACGGGCACCAGGTCCGGATACAGATCGTTGCGGCGATGCGAAACCACCGGCATGGCGGCGCGCACGCGTGCCACCTCCGCCGCAGAGATGTCACCGTACACGACACAGTTGGCCTTCTCTCCAGCGTCCGCGAGCACGCGGCCCCACGGGTCAACGATGAGCGCGTGACCGTACGAGCTCCGTCGGACGTTGTGCTGGCCCACCTGCGCCGCCGCCACCACGTGACACTGCGTCTCGATGGCGCGCGCGCGCAGCAGCGGCTCCCAGTGCGCGTGACCCGTGGCTTTCGTGAACACGGATGGGTACGAGAGCAGCTCGGCGCCCTGCCGCCGCATCAGCTGGCTGTGCTCGGCGAAGCGCAGGTCGTAGCAGATGAGCAGCGCCAGCCGGCCGGCTGGCGTCGGCGCCGGCGCCTCTAGCGCGCCGCCAGGGGCCACGTACTGCGACTCGCGCAGCGGCGCCGTGCCGACCACGTCCACGTCAAAGAGGTGCGCCTTGCTGTAGCTGGCGGCGATCTCACCGTCCGCCGAAACCAGCAGGTGTGTGTTGAGGCAGCGGCCGGCCGCCGTCCGCTCGTGCACGCCGCCTAGCGAAAGCCAGACGCCGAGCCGGCGCGCCAGATCCTGGTACGCGACGACTGTGGTGCCATCGCGCGGCTCAGCCAGCGCCAGCGTCTGCTCGCGGCTCTCGCCGATGAAGTCGCACGCCTCGGGAAGGAAGACGAGACGCGCGCCGCCACCTGCTGCCTCCTCCACCAGCCGCGAGCACAGCTGCAGGTTAGCAGCCTTGTCGGCCGTGCAGGTGACCTGCAGCGCCGCCACGCGGCAGGCATCGGAAGCCGTAGCCATGGGCCGCACGGCGATCGTTCTCAGTGGTGCCAGCAGTCGCGTCAGCATAGGTCAGTCCTCGTACGGCCTGTGACAATGGCATCAGAAGCTAGTCAACATGATGACAGACATTCCCAGGACCTTATGACAATCAACTACAAGTGTGACTAGCAACCACAGAATTCAACAGCACATCATAAGAACAGAGATAGAAAGGTCAAAACATGACTATTGAAGAATTGCACATGAAAGAATGCTGCTCATTTTCAACAATGGTGTTGCTCAAGCATGGCTCAGAATTAGCTCTATTTTGAAATACATCCAAGGCAAAAAATTGCATCCCACCCCAAAAGCTGCTACCTTGAGTGTAAGACCAAATGGTCTACCAGGATGACCCAAGCTCCCTAGCATATTTCCAACTGACCTTTTTAAAGTCCGCACATAAAAACTTGTTCACAAAAACAAATTGTGTCACTGTTTTGCTGAGCATAATGCACCTTAGATATAGGTCAGACTAGTGGTACCAGCTCACATTACTTGCCACATGCCACATGGCTGTAAGCTAAAGATACATCACTTTTGAACATGAACACTTCACACATGGCAAATTAGTAACAATAAATCAATGGTGGAGGTGATCACTGCAGTATTATGAATACTGATCATGACATGAATAGAGAAGGAATAGAATGTGTCTGACATGAGACATGAGAAGGAATAGCATGTGTCTACAGCTTGAATTCATTTTCCCTGCATTCAACAGTTGCCTGCCAACTGTTGAGGGACATGACAAAAAAGCCATTGGGTGAATACAAGCATATAATGATATCAATACCCACAGCACACCCATTTCCACTACAAGCACAATATTTCTACAAATGCCATCAGACTTGCATATCTGACTAACCTAACTTAACTTCCCCACCCTATCCCCTTCAGCCCAGTGCCCCACTGGCATCCATGTTCCATGCCATATAAATGTACCATAATAAGAAATTTTGTTTAGTCGCAATATTCTCATTTTGCTTTTCATTCCCCACCCAAAGAC